AAAACTGAGACAATGAGAATCTCTACAAGATAGGCCTAATGTGGTAATCATAGTAAAAAACGACTGAGTAGTCGTTTCCACTTTGTAAATGATGCGGATCTGCGAACTAGTAATGGAATGTATTTTGAACTGCGTACTTCAAAACTCTTGTTGGCAAACTTTTCCAAAAAATGAAAGTAAACCTAAATAATTCAGAAATCTCTTGGTTGTATTGGCAAAACTTTTTAAAAGAATTTCCCTCCTTTTAACTTTGCGTAAAACAAGTACGGCATAATTCAAATACGACTTGACAGTAATTGAAAGTTTTACGTAAACATCAAGTCTCAAAAGATGAAAGATTGTTGTGAGGTAATTTGAAACTTTTGGGGTTTGTTGACTATTTTAAATATGATTTTTAGATGTTTTTATTGTTGTTCAAGCCTTATATGGGAAAAAAGCATAAAAACTCCATAGCGCCGAAGAAACGCGATATAATCAAAACAAAAGGCTTTCTGGGTCTGTGGATTTTTCTCGACGTCAGGGAAATGAGAGTCATGAACAAAACAGGCGATTTCTCTTTTGATTTAGAAGCTAGTGACGACTAAAATCTATTTGAAAGCTAAATAGACCTATTTTCAAAGCTTGATTGATTCGATCTCATTTCCTCTTGAGCAAAAACAAAGAGAAAAGTGCCCATCATTGCGTAGTGAAACGACTGAAATGAATTTTGAAGCTCGGATGAGTTTTCCCCACTCTTTATTGAGCTAGGTGACGTGAGCGTGGCAAGAGGCCGCAGAATGCACATTCGGCTCACTTCCATCCCTCGTCGCTCATTATTTCCATCGCAAAACGAAGTGTTGGTGCTAAGCAGATAAAATTAGAATTAGTGACGAACAATTCCTGTTTCAAAACCGGTTGATTAGCTGTTCTACGAATATTCATTGGTTTTTGAGTGAAGTAGGTAGAATTAACAGGATGTACTAGTCTATGGTGGTTTCGTGTTAATTTTGCAGGAATTTTTTTGGGAAGAACTTTTGCGTTTTTTCCATAGTGCAAACGTAACAAGAATCTAGCGGTGGCAGACCGAGGGGAGAGGGGCGGCGGGGGGGGGGGGAGGCGTCCTTTCCGAGAAGAGTTGCGAAATTTTTGAAACTTACATGGATCATAAAATTGTTTATCCTTGTAAATAATCAAATGATTTCTGTAATTCTTGAAAAATTCAAATTAGCGTAGGAATTAAGGCCCGCAAAATTTTTAGGAAGTACTCCAGAAAGTGGCTAATGCCACGCACCTTCGTTTGAAGAAAAAATTTCTGCCTCTTCCCCTCCCCCTCCCTTCCCAGACGGAACTCCTGGGATCGCGAACCTAGGTATGAAAAAAAGGAAGCTTACAGTGACGTTTCACTTTATAAAAAAAAGTCGGCAAACATGGTAACGTTGTCAAGCGAGCAAGCAGAATTTTTTAATTTTAAAAAAATGTAGCCAGTGTTAAGATTTGCAATGAATTCTAATCAGAAGTTTTTATGAGTAACAATCACTGAATTTTTTTTTGTTCTTGAAAGGGAGGAAGAAGTTGGGACTTGAGCACACTTTCTTCACACTTGTTTTTTTTTTGCGGAAGAGGATGGAGAAGATTTTCCTTACCTCAAAAATTAGTGAAAATTAGGAAGGTGAATTGCTGCACCAAAATGGTTATCTTTCACGAAGAAAGCTTTACTTGTCGGGAAAACTTGTTTTGACTCTGGATTTTAATTGGGCAGAGCTTTTAAAAACTTCAAAACATGTTGAAAGGCTGCACGGTTAACTAGTTTAGGTGCTGTTGAAGTGTTTACTGCTTAGAATAAGTGAAGTGAATTAAATGAGGTAGCAAGAGTGGGAAATTTGGTATTTTGGAGTGGAGATAAACATTGAATGGAGCCTTCAACATGACAACTGAACGAGAGAAAATCTCAAATTTCGTTTGCAACAAAATCTCGCTCCATATTAGCAAAGTCAGGCGGCTTTTGAACAAAAGAGCAAATATAACTTATGGCACGACATCCCAAAATGGAAAACGCTGAGAAAATTACTTGTTTTTACTACTCTCAAATTGCATTCGTTCTTTTTCTTGAGATGGTAAGAAGATCTGACCATCTCAAAAAAAAAAAAGAACCTTGCTATCTAGTGAATGCAACATAACCCCTTTTCCATCTGAAAGGATGGTTCATGGCATTCCTTTTGCACGGTTGATCGGCTTACACCCAAGATCAAAAGCTTGCCATTTTTAGAGAGACTGAAGTTCACCAGCAAAATGACCTTGTGATCTTTTTTTTTGTGAAGTTTCAAAAAATACCTGCATGTATCACCTCTTTCCAATTTTTGCAGTTCAAAAATTACTAGAGCAAACAACTTTAATTACCCAGTTCGGATTTTGAAGGGCCTAAAATGATCTGCAATTGTTATGAAAGACTGGGAAGCTTCCAGTGGAGCTGTACTCATGATTTTTTTTGTGGTTCGGAAGAATCGCGACATTCGAAGCATTTCACGAGGGATCAAAAAAGCTTTATAAGGTTCGGAATTAAAATTGGTATGCAAAAACAAGGTCTTTTTCTTTTGCTCGAATGGTAAGAAAATCGGATAACTGCGGTATAATGATTTGAAGCAAATGATTGAATTTTCGTTATATTCGTCACCTGTGTGGTAAAGGAATGCCAAAAGCACCAATGACCGGTGCGAAACAAAGGGTAATTCAATGGCCGAAGAGACACCTGCTCGAGTACCTAAACTGGTCTGAGTGATGGGTTTGATAGTTCATCTTTGCTTTCCAATTTTCCTTTCGATGACTAAAGGGCTCGGCAATTGATATTTCAACTGATTGCAATTATAATATCATAATTCAATCTAAGCAAAAAATCTCATCAGACTTCTCAAAAATTCGTACATATTTTTGAATGTTTTCCTTTTTCTATAAAAGAAAGGGAGTATTTTTTGAAAATGTTTTTATGTTTTTGTGTAGAGCGTAGACTTTTCCTTATGATCATTTGCCGAGTTGCTTTGCTGGGCAACGAAAAAAACTTCCATAGAAACAATTTTTATGCATACTAGAACAAGGAAAGAAGCCTTGGTCTCTGGAAATTTTGAATCATCACTTTTTAAAAGTGGAGTTACTCATACTTCTCAAAAGTAAAGCAATTTTTGAGATTCTTCAAAACTTACCCCTTCGTCAATCCTTGGCAAAGTTCCATTGTGTGACAAACGTCGCGCAGAACGCATTGAGCTGGGCCTAACGTCACTATAGAAACATCAAACTCTAGTCGGAAGAAGGAATTAAGTATGAAGAGGAGCTTCTCAACTGCAAGGGTTCAAAGCGAGCAGTTGACGGTTAAGAACTAAATGTAACGCTGTTCTTTGACAGACTGCAGCCAGGATTTTCTTGCGTGACTGATTTTGGAGGCGAAAATGACGTATCTTGCATATAGCGCTAGCCATTCGTCCTAAGTACACATGAATCAAATAGCGGGCAAGAAAGTGAAGAATGGGAAAGAGTGGGAGAAGAACGCAAAAACCAAATTTTTGTGCATGAAATGAAGGCTGGTGTTTACCATCGCTTAGCTTGCTAATTTTCTACATGGGGCCAACTAACTAGACGATAAAGAGAATTGCAATAACACAATCCATCAAAAAGGATTTGAGACATAGATCGTTTTTAGGTGGAAGATGATGCAAAATCTTTGAGGAATAGGCTTGAAGTAGATGCTCTTCTGGATCAAGCGCTGTTGAACATCATCTTCAACAATGGAATACTCTCCACGCAATTGTTCAACTTTTTCCCGGAACATTCTGATCTTAAGTCTTTGCAAAAGATTTTTTTGAGCCACTTCAGAATTTTTTCCGCTATCTCTCGAGATATGTGCAGTAGATTTTTTGCAAAAAGTTGTTGTCTATGTTACATTCCGTTTGATTATATCCGAAATGCTGTGAATGAAGTACTAAAAGCGCCAGTAATATCTAGAGTGTGAGATTATGTAACAACTTGAGAGGAAGATGTTTCCAATAAGTTTATTTGCCTATGTTTACGCACGAAAAATCGACCGCTGCATCAGGTGTAGAAAAAAAACCAAATTGATTTCTTGTAAAAAATTGCAAATCGAGAACTTTTATAGGACAAGGACTTTGTACATATTTTTGATCATTCACAATTTATCGTTGAACTCATTCAACCCGCTATTTTGCACAGAAATGCAACCCACATACCCAACAACAAATTATGCTTGCTACCAATGCCAATGAAAAAGCAGAAGCGACTCAAAATCATTTCTGCCAATGCGTAAAGGCAGTGTTCCGAAAAAAACTCGCTCTTCAATTTTTCACCTTTTTGGAGCCATTTCGCCATGCTGAAAACATGCTTTTCAACGCATGCGGCGAAAATTAGCTTTTTTCGGAACTCTTTACATTCACATTCTCTGAAAAATGCGTATACGTGGGCGGGATACGGAGCAAGGGGGCGGTCCTAACATCTTGCTCATGAAATATTCTTTCCTGGATATGGGTCAATCACGCTTTTTCTAAACATAATGTAGCATCGTAAATTTTGCGGGTACCACTGAGCCACTCCTTTTTATCAAAAAACTAGTTGGCTTACCCGGCTCCGCCCGGCCCTGTCATTATTATATTCGTAATCAGCATGCTCGATTACCCCCCTGTGCCAACTCCCAGCCCCGTAGCTCAAATTTTGCAAAAAATCGATAAAATCGATATCGATCGATGACGAAAAGTAGCCTATGACACCCGCCGGGGCCCGAAGTGTATGTGTGCCAAGTTTGATCCGGATCGGTTCAGAGGAATTTTCTATTCGGAACATACGTACACACATACATACATACATACATACATACATACAGACATACAGACATTCAGCTTTATAAATAAGATAGTGCGCTTGCTCTGTTCTGCTACCTCCAATTTTTTTTCTGTTGTCAATCAAAATAATTGCACTTTTGCAAAGTACCAGAAAACTTGCTGGGTATCAGCAATATTACGTACCTGGTACAGTCGATTCGCATCAAATGGCAAATCACGCGACCGTAATGCGCTGGATTGGTACTGGTTAGCTTCGCGTTGACTTGCAGTAAGACCTAAATAGGAATTCATCAAGTAAAGAATATTTGTATTTTCTCGAGCAACCTTTTTGCTTTTAGGTTGTCATGCTTTGGTTATACGAGATAGAAAAAATTGAAGAAGGAAAAAGGTGCATATCGATTACTAAAAACGGACGTAAAAGTCGTACAATACATATCATACTCCAATGGTAAACATCTTATGTTAGCTAACCATGATTCTGGAAATCACATAGATTAGAGTTTCTTCCTGATGGGTACACAAAAGATATACATTGATCGCTGAACACGCATTGCGCATCTTGGCAAAGTGTAACATTTGTGTGGTAAAAAATACACTTCCGCACATCCTTCCGGGAATGAACGAAAAACATCTTTCGAAGCACTTTAGTGAAGTGGATTTGGATGAGGATGTTAAAGGCAGTGTCCGGGCAAAAACTCGATTTTGAGATTTTGTGCTTACCCGGTCCTATTCGCTATGCTGAATCCGAAAATCCACATTAGAAAGCGCGGAAACGGCGAAAAAGAACTCTAACGCAGGAGGGAAACCAGAAGTGGGCGGGGTCTTCCCCGCTGCGGATTCACGCTCCAAGCTTCCGGAGCGATCTTCTCGGTCCCGATTTCAAGTCATGCGTTTGCACCTGGCCTGTGGAGATCTCAGAGGGCTAGCGGAGTTGAGAAAATCGCTTCAGAAGCCGGGAGCGCGAAATTCACAATGGGGAAGACCCCGCCCACTTCTGATTTCCCTCCTGCGTTAGAGCTCTTTTTCGCCGTTTTCGCGCCCTCCAATGCGCATTTTCGGATTCAGCGTAGCGAATAGGCCCGGGTAAGTACAAAATCTCAAAATCGAGTTTTTGTCCGGACACTGCCTTTAAGAAAGCGGTGAGAATTTTTGAGGGTTCTTACGTAGAGGGATTTGTGTAAAGAGTGCATAGGTTTTACAAAACTGCAAAAAATTTCCGAAATTTTCTCTACAAAAGATATCTTTGCCATTATTTTTCAAAAAAAAATCCTACCTTGATCTCGAATCGATGTTGCAAAATCGTGTGGAGCAGTACGAGTATGTGTTTCTTTGCGAATAGTGCGGATGTATTCTTCGCGCCCGCTGGCAGGTTCGTCCTTCAACAAATCGATATATTGATTTTTGCTGGTGTCAAAAGTCGAATTTACCTCTACGTAATGATTGAGAGCGTAGTCACGAATACGAGCATGTGGATCAAGAATCGGAGAGTGAGAGGATGGTCTGAAACTCTAGGGCATTTTCAAGTCAGAATATTTTTGGAGTCTTAAGGATAATGCGCGCCGCAAATGCGGAGCAGGCACGCCCTCACTGTTGCGGCGCGGTCATTAATGGAACAAAAAAATTGGGAAAAGTAGCCACTCACGGACGGTAAGGTGTATTCCATTCAAGCTCAACTGTTCGTGGAGTAGATGCATGCTGATCCTGGCAAGTTGATTCTTTTTTGTACGAGTTATAGCTGTTATAGTTATAGCTGCTATTCGAAGGGCTATACTGAGCGGCCGGTTGCAAATGTGGACTTCGTGAGCGTTGAGCAAAGAGATTATTTTCGAAGCGATTCGGCGTATATGGTTGATTTTCAAAGTGGGGCGGAGCATATGGTTGAGGAGGGCTGACGTTTCTATAGTGTGGTTGTGTGTGGGCAGTGCTGCTTACGAAAGGTTGAGGACTTCTTGTACGAGTTACTGTAGAGTCGTATTTAGTTTCATAAGAATCGATATTAGGTTTATAAGGTTGAAAAATTGATTTTGGCGTCTTGTCGTAGGTTGTTGTAGGTGGTGACGCCGTGGCTGTTGCCTGAAATGGTGGTAGTTTCCTATGGATAATTTTACATAGATTATACTTATAGTATTTCGATAAGTATGAAAAATGTCAAATTGGATCTCATGGCTATGGAAACCAGTTTTCGTAAGATATATGATAACTAGTGTGTTTGCTGCGTTCTGAAAGTTTACAGCTGTTGAATTCCAAAAACTTGGGGACCAGTTCTCGTGCAATGACTAAGTACCCTTTGATTCGAGATTGGCGGCTGGAAGGCGGGACTTCGAGGCTTAATCAAGGCTAAGAAATGGCTGAGGGCACGTTCGCGAGAGAGACGCGGGTGCGAGCGAATGCCCTCCAGCCGCCAATCCCGTTGAATCAAGGGGTACTTGCCTTCTGAAGATTGTGAGCTGCTAGGAGTTGATGAATGGTGGCCGCTCTTATCTATACATTATATATGTTGCCTTTGTGAAAGTGTAAGCTGGTGAAATCGCGCCCCTGGGACCAGTTCTCGCATGATGGTCCGTCTATAATGGCCTGTTACCTTCTGATGAACATTAGCCGCTAAAAGTGGGTCATTGGGGGCCAGTTCTAAAAAACATAATATATGTGTTGCCTTTTGCAACCATGAACCTCTAAAAGTGCTTCACCGGGGACCAGTCCGCGCAGGAAGGATGGGGCCAGTTCTTTCTCTCTTAAGTAACAAGGAGCTACCATCACGGCAGAAAAATTGATCTTGAAACTTTGTATGATTTTTTCTTGCTACGGTGCAATTTTTGCAAAAGTTGGCTATATATGTTCAGTAATGAATACTGAAAAAATCTGAAATTTTGAAACCTTACGAACCTGTACATTTATGCGCGGATTGGCACATCCACGTACGTTGCCGACCGAATCAGTGTGGTTGGAATAAGCGGGCGTAGCATGAACCTATCAGAAGTATCGATTTATGGTCAAATTTGATCGAGACCTCCCTAATCGATATATCGATTACCTGTTCTCTGGCTTGATTGACGTCCAACTTATTGAACTGCGAGCCGTACGGCCGATTTCCGTTAGACAGTCGTTGATCCTGTCCTGCCACTCGGTCATCGGATAGATTCTTGACGTCACCTAATATCGATATATCGATTTTTTTCATCATGATCTTTGATCATTGCCTAGTTAATAGAGCTTATTCAACTTCTTTTTACAAACCTCGAATCTGTTCGTGGTAGCCGGTCTTGCGCAAGCGAGCGGCAGCGTGCTAAAATTGGGATTTATTTTTTGATACTTTTACGAAATAATCGATATCTATCGACCGCTCCTAAAAAATCAATAGAACGTTAAGCAGGCTTTACCTGTAATGTCGCACTGTCCACTGCTGGACGGACTTGCTTGGGCGGCGCTAAAATTATGCAATGCAATCAATATCAATCAATAAAATCAATAATTTTTTATGGCAGAATCACCAGGTACGGTATTGTTGTCACGTCGTGGTGTCTGCGCTGCCTTCCACCCGCCAGATGGTAATGTCGCTGACTAAATTAGTAACAAATTGTAAAAATAAATTAAGTACCCCATAAACAACCCACTTCTAGATATTTCTGGGTTTTTGGTGCAAAAGTCAATAATCAATTTTAATGTTTCTATGGTTTTGCTGTTGCTTTTGACAACAAACGCAGACAGCTGCGCTAGAAATTCGAGCTTCCGTTACTATACTTCCGGTGTCCTATATCATGTAAAAAAATTATTTTTCTGAAACAATGTGTTTCTTTGAGCAGCAAATCTCTTATATTGGCTTTCCAAGCGTGAAGGAGCATAAAAAATATGTACTTACTAAGTAGTGCCTTAAATATTAGGTGGGTCACAAAGTTCGTTCGCCAGATTTTCAAAAAATCATAACTTCCTTCCTTCTTAGTGGAATTTCTTGAATCAACTTTTGTTCGAAAGAGGGAACCTTTTTCTTTACAAGAGTGTCTTTGGCATGAAATAGCTTGAGGAAATTCGAGAGTTACAAGCAGTTGAATGAAATCACTCAAGATCGGCACTTTTCAAGCAGGGTCACGAGAAATTCTGGAAATATTTTTATTTGATAGAGCAAATTTTGATTATTACAGTGGTACCTTTTTCATGAATTAAAACGATCTAGATCTAGAGTTAGAAATAAATAAAGAGAATTTCTTCACTTTTGCAATTTTTGAGCACGCTCAAAAAAGCTTGAAAACGTCACAGAAAATGCGAAAAAGTCATAAACATGGGTTTTGTGACCTTTTCTTTCTAGCTGATCAAAGATCGTGCCAATCGGGAGCAATTTTCATTTTCGCGATTTATTCGGATTTTCGGGTCTGCGTTTTTCATGAAAATGAAAATTGCTCCCGATTGACACGATTTTCGCTCAGCTATAAAGGGAAAATCACAAAACCTATGTTTATGACTTTTTCGCATTTTCTGTGACGTTTCAAGCTTTTTTGAGCGTGCTCAAAAATTGCAAAAGTGAAGAAATTCTCTTTATTTATTTCTAACTCTAGATCTAGATCGTTTTAATTCATGAAAAAGGTACCACTGTAATAATCAAAATTTGCTCTATCAAATAAAAATATTTCCAGAATTTCTCGTGACCCTGCTTGAAAAGTGCCGATCTTGAGTGATTTCATTCAACTGCTTGTAACTCTCGAATTTTCTCAAGCTATTTCATGCCAAAGACACTCTTGTAAAGAAAAAGGTTCCCTCTTTCGAACAAAAGTTGATTCAAGAAATTCCACCAAGAAGGAAGGAAGTTATGATTTTTTGAAAATCTGGCGAACGAACTTTGTGACCCACCTAATAGAATAAAATCAGTAATCATCAAACTTACGGATAAGAGTAGAGGGGGTGGTGGAGGAGGAGGCGGGGGTCCCATACTTCGTAATCACTAGGAAATGGAGCTGGCACGTGCAAATATGAGCGAGAACGTGGAATTCTGCAAATAGACATTTTTTATAGGCGATTATGGCTATAACGTTGTGTGAGAAAAAGATGGCCAGCAAAAAGTACAATTTCAAAATGGGAATCGTATTATAGCATGACCACAAATGTCTAAGTCAAAAATAAGAGTAACAAAATAAGCTGCATTGAGGAGCTCTCAAGTTCGCAATAAAATTGAAATAAAAATCAGTTTATTCATTATTTTGTAAGTAACATAGGAATAGGGAAAGCGGAGATCGCGCAGAAAATTTCTTATTTATTCAAAACTGGAGCCGTAGACATCAAAGTGTGTAAAAAGGACAAAGGAAATAAAGCGATTTAAAAGTAATATCTGCACAAACCGGTGAGAGCTGAAGTCTCATTAAATCACACATCTTGAATGCTCTCAGATTCAATCAATAAATCGATGTGATCTGGTAATATGTTACCAAACATAGAGGCAAAGAGCAGCTACTGCCCGTTAGTCATTTCAAAGGAAATGAAAAAAAAAGTGGGTTAGTTCATGAGAGACACATTTTCAAAAAAAATTGCAAGCCCGACCCACCTACATTTACCTTTCTAAATGTTTTCGAACAAAATTCTATTTTTACCTTGCAATCGGTGCTGGGTAATGGGGCAGAGGCGAGAGGTAGCTCATGACGGTTAGTTTGCCGTGGCTGGGTGCTGGTGATGTGTGAGCTGGCTCAGCCAGCTTTTACACTATCCACACTCTTTCACGCACGCTGTGTCTCCCACATACCACGCACTATTTCGTCAAGATTACAAATTTCAGCTACGGAAAATGTGGATCAGCGATGTTTTGTGTCGGCTGGCTGCTTTAGATCAGACTGAGATGTAGTGGAGGAGAAATGAAACGGAAATCAGGGCTAAGGGGCATGCGAAATGGGAGGGAGAGTATAACGAACTAGGAAAAATGTTGTTTTTGAAGGTGCTATTTAGGTGAGGTAAAGGTGACTATAAAATGTTGTAAACTACCCAGTGACAGCAGATTCGTTCCAGTCCAGATAAACTCGTCCGCTTCCCAGAAATAGTAGTTGACAGACTGACTACGCTCAGCTTTACTTTTCTCGAACTGCGTTGTAAACTAGGAAGCTTAAACTTGTACGAGTTTTTAGAAGCATGAACTCTTACTCTCTAATCCGGAAACCTGCTTGTTTTCGGTCTCCTGTCTCGAAATTGTAGCTTTGAGCCATGGCAAGCATTGCTTAAATGTTTCGAATTATCCTTTGATGAACCTTTTTGCCTCATAATGAGACAATTTATCTTTTTTGGCGAGATGATTTGAACTTGAACTCACTTGGGAGTTTGGTCAAACGCAGATTAAAAATATTTTCAGAAGAGCTATAAGACAGGAATACTAACAATTTGCCTCATGAGTGAAATGCAAAAATTCTTGGGGGAGCCTATGTTAGGCAGATAGAAGACTACAAAAATAATAAACCAAAATCCATTATTGCTTTCCTGTAGCGCTTCAGTAGTTTATCGATGGTTAGTAAATGCAAATTATCCTATGATTCAACTGGCTTCGCACCTAGAAAGCGGGGCTTTGTAACCTAATTAGGGCTGCTCGTGCCCGCGAGGCAGTCTGCGTCTCTGTCGCTTGCGTGCTCTCTGATCATTATCTAGCCTTAACTAGGTCATGAGGCCCCGCCTTCTAGGCGCCCAGCCAGTTGAATCAAAGGGTACATATCTAATGACAAATGCAGACAATTTAATCACACTGTGTAGCTTCATAGTTTTTCTAATAGTTGCCAAACCTATAGTTCCTTTCTAAAGGGAAAAGTATGTGTAAAACAACAGTTCTTTTTCATAGCAAAGTGAATTTTTAATGAAAGATTGAATCTGAATCCTTTTAAGATTGGAAATGTCTCGATTTCACGGCCAAAGCCTGCTTGATATTCCTTCTTTTTGCAGATTGTCGGACTGACATTGATAGACAGTCTTCTGGATTATGACTGGAAAAATCCAGTCTTAATCCAGAATTATTTGATCAGGGAACACACTAAGTCATAAAACAAACATTTAAGCGGAGGAGATAAATTTGCTCAAGTTTTTGTGTAGGATGGTTTTGGAATATAATTTTTCAAAATACTTTCAAAGAAAAATGATTAATGGTTCTGAAGCGATGAGCGAAACATTGAGAAATTTGCGCATTACCGTTTTCTTTTGTTATAATCATCATCCGACAGTCATCACAAAGTTACAACAAATTACTCACAAAGGTGATTTTTATTTCCAAGGACAAATAGCGCAGTTTCTAGAGATGAAAATCAAGCGAGAAATCAAATTAAGGAGAATAAAAGCGCAGCAGGAAACGTGAGTGAAACTACTGGTTTTTCTGCTGTCACGGAAGGAGAACGAAAGGATTTTACCGCAAATCGCATCGTAGGCGTTGCATAGTTTACCGAAAATGTTTTATTCTTTTGCGATGAGCGGGGACTGAGAATGAAAAAAGTTCCGAGTGCACAATCGCACTTGTCTTGAAATTTGCTTTGGAAAAAAGTAATTGGGGTAAACAGCAAGTGAATGAAAGTTGAATGTAAATATCTTTTGATTCAACTGGATTGGCAGCTGGAAGGCGGGGCTCGTGACCTAATTAAGGCTAGAGATTGGTCAGAGAGCAGTTCCGCGAGAGAGACGCAGACTGCGTTGCGGGCGTGAGCGGTCGCCTTCCGGCCGCCAATCTCGTTGAATCAAAGGATATGTCAGAAACATATTATGGAATTAGGCCAATTTATCAACTATTTTCAAGTTTTGAATTACTTGAATTGAAAAATTAATTTTTTGGTGGCAATATCGATGTGAAAAAAATTGCATTAATTTTGGCAAACTGCACTTTAAATGAATTGAAATCGCTCAAAGTGTTTGAATAAAAATGGGCGTGGTCTAGAGTCCCATAAAAATCACACAAATATGCTGAGAGGATAGCAGATAAAGGACATTCTTCGAAACGTTCGGAATTTGTTCACTAAGCAACAATGAGAAGCGTTCTCTGATAGCTCTATGATAAATGTGCGAAGCAATGATAGCTGCAAGATGAGTCAGTGTGACATTTTCTCGACAATTGCGAACATTTGTAGCATCTGTAGCTGGAGATTTTTGAGAAGATCAAAGATCAGATGACTAAAAGTTCAAATATCTCAAATAAATTGCTTCAACTGAACTGTCTCATGTTTTTTTTCTATGAAAAAGATATTTGAAAAAAGCCAAAGATAGGTGATGCAGCGATTTTTTGTGAATTTCGACTGGTGAATGATGTGCCATACCATTTGAGTCATACCCGCTTAGGCAAATATGACGAGTGCCAAGTTTTGAGACGAAAGTTTCCATTGATCGAGCAAAAATCGAGTTTTTACAAAATTTGTTCAAATGGGGAATGGTTACAAAGCAACTTATCGGGAAAGAATTATTTTTGGTTTTCTTCCAACTTCTTTCTAATAAGAAGGATAACGTTGTGCTGACTTAGCACTTCTTGTGTGCCTGTTTGCTTAAAAGCTTTTATTCTTTGTTTGTTTATGGAGTAACGAACAGAGGTTTGGCTAAAAGACACAATAAGATAATAATTGAATAGTATTTTGTTAATGATAACATTTGAAATTATAACTGTATGTTGGATTGAAGCAGAAGTTCTGTAGCTTCAATTTGGAAAATTCGTAATTGCTTCTTAAGTGAACGTATTTGTTTACAATAAATTTTTCCAGAAAGGACTAATCATTTTGAATTTTCATGCCTCTTTGACGACAGAGGACTAGAAGTTGAATAGGAGAACACTCTCGCAGAAAATAATTCGTCAAAAACCTGAGATGTTGCCGAAATCTGGAAGCATGTCTTGCAACCAACTTAAGCTGCTCTTTTTGACTGTGCAAGATTTGTATTGATCGAGCTTCTCTATGGAAAGTTATGATTTCCGAAAGAACTGCAGAACTTGCAGAAAAATTATTTTTGCCATTTTCGGCATTTCCCTTGAAAACCATAAGTTTTTAAACACAAACTCGATTGAACTTTGCATAGTCAGAAAGAGCAGCTTACATAGGTGATAATAACTTTTCAGATTTTCTCGCGACGTTTCAGATTTTTTGACGATTTATTATGAAATATTGAAAGGTAGAGTGGCTCTCTTCGAATTTTTGTCTCTCTCGTTTTGTCAATGAGCCGCGGAAATGTCATCAAGAAGTAGAGATTTTCTTTCTGGTAAAATTCACTGTAGGCGATCTAATATATAAAGAATCGTAATGCAAGTTCAAAAATCATCAAATAGCGGGAAACCGCGGTGCGGTCCCGAAACGCGCGGATACAATCTAGCACCTTTGATTACTGGTTCACTAGTACAGTACATAATACATTCGCATAGGGAGCAGTTACGAATTTTCCCAAAATTGAAGCTACAAAACTTTCAGCTCAACCTGATTACTAGATGATGTAAGAAATGCTGTTTCCTTGCTTATTCATGTAGGAAAGTCATACAAATAGGCTTCTGACCTAAAAAATTACTGTTTCATGCAAAATCATAAATTGAGACGGTGGGTAACTGGCACATCTTGCTGGTAGATACAAGAACCTTGAACATCATATACAATGACACTAATTGGTTGGCTACGCCACACAGCTTTTTGAGCGGATTGACACCGTTATGAAGTGATCATCAATTTTGTACGTAGTGGTTTCAGACACTTGTTGGCCTACTACGAAAGCACTTTGGAGAAGAAGAACCAAGATTCAAGAGATGCTGAGAATGTTTACTGCTTGGAATCGATTCAACAAACGGAAAATACGCTGGAGGGAGGCGTTTTTTTAGTGGCATCAGGAACAGGTACGATTAGGAAAAGAAGCAAAGGGGGAAGTTGAGAAGTCAGTTTAGTGAACGAACTGAAGTGAATGGATGAGTAAATGATGTTTTGATAATCCATTGAATAAATGGACAATGATCGGATGACTGACTGAGTGGCTGATGGATCATGTGAGTAAATTGGTCGAAGTTCAAAGAAGTTCGAATAAAAAAACAGTTAGTGAATAAATTAACTTATGGTACCTTTTTGCATAGAATGGATGACTTAATGAACTGTACTGAATTTATGTATGGTAAATGGAAGCAGTGGTAAATTGAAGTGAGTTTAATGGTTGATTTGAATATTTGTTTATCTCTGATCAAAGCCGACAACTAATCGTATCTTATGAGGAGAGTAAAGTATATCCATGGTCGATTGAAAAATCTTGTTGTCTCTCAGAAATTATGTTCCCAATTTTTGAAGGCCAGCGAGCCTACATACTGGCGCAGGCTAGCTGATTAAACCCCTTAAAATGTGTTTTTAAAAGAACAACAAGATATGCAAAAACAGTAAAAACTAACGAGGTAAGCAACGAAAAAATCAATAAAGCAGGGCTTCTCGAGGTACCGCCTTTCGTGAAATTCAAATTTCTGTATTGTTTTTTGTTATAATCCTTGTGCCTATACTCATATCTAGTAGATTCTGTGAAGTAATGTAAGTTCCTTGCTTCTATGAAATAAATGGAATGGCTGGTAGATGGAAGTGAAAGGGTATGCAAGTGAAAAAATTGGATGATAAAAATTCAAAATCATTTGAAGTGATTGAAGGAATGAATATTGAATTGAATAAGTGAAACTGAGACTCTGCTGGTTGAGTAACCTATGCGTAATTGTCAGAAGATTCGAGCGGATTTACCATTAAAGGAGCAGAATACGCATTGAGTGAAATAATAAAATATCTGTTGGATTCATAAGAATAGATGTCCAAAAGAAATATAAGCCAAAGTTTGATTCGTCGAAACAGTAAACTTTCTAATGGAACAGACTAACTTAGTGAATGAAGGTTATCTGTACATATCTCGCATAGATAAAAAAAATGAGTAAAAAGACTAAAATAGTTGAGACTCGAAGAGTGTCAGGTTACATAGCTTTAGCCTCTTATTTGTAGTCTACGCTTATCGACTAAATCTAAGTAAGTTGAGCAAATCAAAGAATCAACTCGTACAAAACAACTTCGAAATAGTCGAGTGACTCGAAATGACTATGAGCACTGGCTTTGGAAATCTACGAGCGACTAGTCCTACACTGAATTCCCAAGACGAAAAAAAATTTTCTTTGCATCTATAGCAGTGCGAGCAGCGTAGGTTTCAAACCAGTTTTGGAGATGTGCTCGTAAATGGTGCCAAAATGGCCTCTCTTTTATGGTGAACGGAACCG